CATTAAAGAACCTTAAACTTGGCCTGGTGGTGCACACCCGTAATTCCAGTATTCAGGAGGCTGGAGGCAGGAGTACAAGTGTAAGCCCAACCTGGGCAATTTAACAAAACCCTGTATCAAAAAAAAAAAAAAAAAAGAAAAATAAAAGCCCTAGTGTTTGTTTGTATATACTTTTCACACGGCCCTGTATACCCTCCCATGAGTTCACCATAGCCCAGCACAAAGGGAGCGCTAGATAAGCAGTCATTTTACTACACTGATTGCAACAAGGGGGAGAAAGGTTATTCACACTGGGTGCACCTCACTCAGTGAAAGAAGCCAGACCCAAGCCAGGCAGGGTGGCACACACTAGTCATCCAAGGACTCAGGAGGCTGAGGCAGGAGGATCGCCATGAGTTCAAGGCCACCCTGGGCTACACAGTGAGACCCTGTCTCACAATACAAAAATAGAAAATCTGCAGGCAGTTAGGGGCGACGGCTGCATAACACTGTCAGGATACTAACCGGAGCTGCCTGGGTGGTAACTTGAATGTGGTTAATGGTTAATTTGGGGATGTGTGCATTTTCCTCAACAACAAAAGAGGGCAGCAGGAACAGCGAGGGTCGGAGGAGGACACACGCATCGCCCTCCATCCCCTCTCCTTCTGCCCACTCCCTCCTACTCCCTTCGAGGCCACTGAGAACTTAATGAGCATAAACTCACAGGGCCCTGGGACCCGTCCCCGCCTCTCCTTGTGAGCTCCTGAACACCCCCCAAGGGGTCCTACACAGCCTGTGAGTCAGCTCCGCAATGGCACTGCAAGGTTCCCAGGGTCCTGACCCGCTCAAGCCACCTTCTGCCTGAGCAGCAGCAATCCGCCCATCGCACGCCTATAACCCCAGCACTTGGGAGGCTGAGGCAGGAGGATCACAAGTTCAAGACTTTGGCTACACAGTGAGTTCAGCATGAGCCTGGGCTGCATAGCGATACCCTGTCTCAAAAAAAAAAAAAAAAAAAAAAAGTTTCCTGGAAATGACTCCCTAAGCCGGTTCTCAGGGACAGGACACGCTGCCGGCAGACAAGCAAGCTGGCCCAAGGGTACAGAGAACCCTTCGATCCCAGGGCGCCCACGCAGGACGACACATGGACGCCCTCCCAGGGGCTCAGATGACCACGGAGCCCAGCCACTTGTCCCCACGGGTGCAGGGTCCCGAAGCTAACTGTGCCCCGCCTGGCCTACCCGCTCTCAGCCCCAAGACGCTGTGTGTGGCCGCAGTGCCCCAGCGCTGGGCTCACCGGGGACAGCAGGGTGGCCGGGCTGGTGTGAGGCAGCGGGGGACCCTCACCTCCGGCCGCCCCCGTCCCTGGCTCCCTGGAGCCCTCTGCCTGTTCCAGGCAGCAGCTGTGCAGGCAGGCCCCAGCCTGAGGGCCCCCACACCACACAGGTGCACGGGAAGGGACGCTCACAGGGCAGCTTCTCCCTTGCACCTCAGGAGCCCCGATGTGCCAGCCTGCTAGGAGGCCACGTGGAGGAGACTGCGTGTCCCCACCCTCCCCGACCCCTCTCGCATGGTGACATTCAGCAGCCTCGTCCCCAGACTGGCAAGCACTGTCCTATGAAAGAGCCACCCTGGAGGCCCAAAACCGTGACCGAGAACATGAGCTTGCTGTGTGGAGCCACCAGGCCTGGGGCAGTTTGCTCAGCGAGGACCGAGCACCCGCAGGACGCCCCCAGAAGTCCGCAAACCAGAGACATCCACTCAGGTGACAGGTGGCTTCGCAGCCCGGCAGGCACATGTCTGATACACACCTCTGGCCTGTGGTGGCTGGCCAAGCCCCCGCAGAAATTAGGGGAACAACCTTTCTTGATTACCTGGGCACTGAGGTGCGCGCCTGTAATCCCAGTACTCTGGGAGGCTGAGGCAGGAGGATCAAAAAGTTGGAGCCCGTTCTGAACAACTCTGCAATTTAGTGAGAGCCTGTTTTAAAATAAAGGGGTTTTGGGGGATGTCAAGAACGAGTTCAACCAAAAAAAAAAACAAAAAAAAAAACAAACAAACAAACAAAAAAACACTGGGGCTGGGGATTTAGCTCAGCGGCAAAAGCGCCTGCCTGGCAAGCACAAGGTCGTGAGTTCAGTTCCTGGTACCGGAGAAAAAAAAAAAAAAAAAAAAAAAAAAAAAAGAGCGAGTTCAAGGCCACCCTGAACTACGGAGACCCTGCCTCAAAAAACAACACAACAGCAAGGCCAGAAGTCCACAGCCCCAGTGCATCTCCCGAGCCCCCAGGTGGGTGCGGGCTGCATTTTCTTGGTTCCTGCTCAGCATCTCAGCCTCGGGGAGCAAGCAGCCCCTCCCCAGGGTACTTCCTGGCCTTGGCAGAGCGTCACAGGCAAGGAGCTGGGAGCCAACTTTTTTTTTTTTTTTTTTTTTTTTTTGAAATAGGGTCTCGCTATGTGGTTCAGGCTGGCCTTGAGCTCACTTTGTAGCCCAGGCTGGTCTCAAACTCGCAATGATCCTCCTGCCTCAGCCTCCTGAGTGCTGGGATTATAGGCGTGCGCCGCCACACCCGGCCTGGAGCCGACCTTTTGCCTGCAAAGCAACAACCTTTAATTGGGCCCTCACCCTGGAGGATGCCTGGCGCCTGCCCTAGCCCAGGGCCCTGTCCCAGCCAGTAGGAGCAGCCTGGGCAACTGTGCTGGAGCCAAGCCCTGCTGTGGAAACCACCAGAGAGGTTTGCTAGCCGTTTCTGGCCCCCTTGGCCTCCCCGTGTGGGACGGCCAGTGCCCTGCACCCAAGGACCTGGGAAGATCTGTCTGCAGATGTGGTCCTGGCCACTCAACCCAGAACCTTCACACTGCAGCCTTTTTATTTTGACACAGGGTCTTGCTAAGTTTCTAAATTGCATAGGCTGGGCTTGAACTTTTGATCCTCCTGCCTCAGCCTCCCAGAGTGCTGGGATTACAGGTGTGCACCACCATGCCCAGCTCTGTCTTTCCAATGGGTGTTTTTTGCTTTGGGTTTTTTTTTTTGTACCAGGAATTGAACTCAGGACCTTGTATCTGCCAGGCAGACACTTGTGCTACTGAGCTATATCTCCAGCCCACTGGCTTGGTTTTTTTGAGTCTTTTTTTTTTTTTTTTGTCTTTTTGAGGCAGGATCTTGCTATGCAGTTTAGGCTGGCCTTGAGCTCGCTTTGTAGCTCAGGCTGGTCTTGAACTCACAACAATCCTCCTACCTCAGCCTCCTGAGTGCTGGGATTACAGGCATACGCCATCATGCCTTGCTGTTGCTTATTTATCAGGTGGTCTCACCATACCTGAGCAAATAAAACCTACATTTTAAAACAGGATGGAGAGTTCAAGGCCGGGCTGGGCGACACAGTGAATTCAAGGCCAGTCTGAACGATAGAGCGCGACTCTATCTCCAAAAAATAAAATAAATACATAAAAGTAAAACAAGATGGAGCTGAGACCAGCAGAGGCCGCCGGGCTCCCACATCAGGCAGAAGCCCTGTTGGAGGCCCCGACTCAGGGAGGAGCCGGCAGTGCCCGAAGCCCACCGTGAATGCAGAGCCCCCTGCCATTGCTTCCACCCCCAGGAAGCAAGAGGCGCAGCGGCTAAGCGGGTGCCGGCGACAGAACCCGGAGCCCGACCTGCTCTGCACTCCCGCTCCGCCCTGCGGGAGGGGTACAGCAGAGCCCCAGGCTGCCAGCCCAAGGAGACGGAGCCCAGGGGCAGAGGATGCGCAGGACTTTAATGCCCACCTGACCAGGGTGGCAGGAGTGTCTGAGCGCATGACGACGATGCCGCCTGCGCCCGGGCCGGCCTTGTGTTCCCCGGGGACACCCTCTCCTCCCCACCCGCGCTCTGAGTCCACGGGGACTGCCAGGGACACCGCCTTGGGGGCCACACTTGCAGGAGCTGGGGCCTGAGGTTCCCGAGGGCCGGGGCGCCCGCAGCTGCCTATGTGTCCTGCCGCTGTGCCCCCGGCTGGCTGCAGTCAGGCCCAGTGACAGCTGGCCACAGGCACGGCAACCTTCATAGTACCGAGCTCTTCCGCTCTGAGAGTGCCACGGAGTCCTTCACGGCCACCCGCAGCCCCAGCGGGCACAGGGACCCTTGCGCTCGGAGGTGGAACAACACCAGCAGGGTGACGGCGGCCAGGCTGACACCCAGTAACCCTGCGGGAGACCGACAGACAGTGGAGGTGAGCGAGATGAAGGCTGCCACACCCACCCTGATCCCCGTGTGTAAGAACAGGACAGGGACAGCCCGTCCCCGGTTTGTGCCCAGGGCGGCCACTCCCAGCCCCTGGCACAGAAGGGCCTGCCCGGCTTACCAGCAGCTGCAATGACCCCATAGCCATTTGGGTTTCCACGCTGGTCCCCAACAGAGGAGGCTGTGGAGTTCCTGAGAGAGGCGATGCCCTCCAGAGTGACAGCGACAGGCGTCCTCACGGTCGAGGCACGCCCTTCCCGGACCCTCTCTTTGATTTCTGCAAAGAGCCGAGGCATCTAGTAGTTGGGTATGGGCACCTGGGGAACGCAGGGCACTCAGGGGGCCCAGGGGCTCATGCCAGACTGGCTGGGGGGTGGGAACGCGGGCCCAGGCGGCGGACACATCTATGCCCCGGGAATCACAGGCGTCCCTACCAAGCCACCAGCCCGCCCCTCCCACACAGGCCCGCCACTTTCCAGGACACGCACCGCAGCCGAGCTCATCACTGGCGTCCAGGCAGTCCGGGTGGCCGTCGCAGTGCCACGTGTGTGGGACGCAGGTGTTCCCCGTCCTGCAGGGCAGCTGGCCCGTGGGGCAGGGCTGGCGGTGGCTGCAGTTCTGCAGGTTCTTATCAGTGCCACCAGGGCAATCGCTGATGCTGTCGCAGAAGCATGGGGGGTCCGGAGGCGGAGGGCACTGCCCGTTCTGGGCACAGGGCTGGATCCCTGGGGTACAGGGTCAGGGAAGTCACACGTGCTCTTGCATGAAAACCCAGCTCCCTGTAAGTCCCGCCTTCTAACAACTGCTGACCTGAGGCCCCGCCCCTGCCCCACTAGCCCCACCTCCCAAGGGCTAGACTTCCCCAGAGCTCCGCCCACAGCAGCCGGCTGGCTCCGCCTCCTCACAAGCCTCCCTTAGAACCCACCCCTTTTTGGACCCACGCTTCGCAGGCCCCGCCCACACGCTGGCCCCGGAGCCCCGCCTTCCCTCCTCGGCCCCGCCCGGAGCCCCGCCCCTGGACCTGGCCACTCACTGCACTCCTCCTCGTCGCTGCCGTCCCCGCAGTCCGCGTCGCCGTCGCACCGCCAGGAGAGGGGAACGCAGAAGCCACTGGTGCGACACTGGAAGCTGGAGGGTGAGCAGGTGCCCGCGCGGGGGCCTGCGGGTGCGCACGAGTGAGGGGGGAAGCCCAAGTCCGGGTCCTCCTCCAAGAAGGCCGTGCTCACGGGCCGTAACCACCTGGGCACAAACCAGGTCCCAGGGTGCGGGAACCACCTGGGTGGCCGCCCTGCGGTGAGCGCTCATGATGGGCGCGTCCTGCCTCCACCCGCAGTCTATCCTGGCAGAGTCGGGTCTGAACCCGGGTCTCACCGATCCCAGCGTCTACCGGCCCCCAAAGGGCCAGCCGCCCACCCTGAGACCTCCAGGCTTCCTGATGAAACAGCCTGGGGCGGGGGCTGTCCCGCAGCACACCCTCGGCAGGCTCACGGCCAAGGTCAGCAGGCCTGGTCTAGCCCATCTGCCCGGCAAAGGGAAAACCGAGGCTTGGATGGAAACCTGCAGTCATCAAGCAGTGCTGCCCCTAAATCTACCCCGTCCAACCACGCTCCGACGTGAATGTGTCACCTCCACACCAGACCCCCCCCCCCAGGCCCCGAGAGACGCCGAAGAGGGCACCAGGGACCTCGGGGAGTCACATCAATCTGCCACCCACCCTGCCCTGGCTCCCAGACCCTCACAACCAGCTTTCACCTCCTCCCCCAGTTTATCAAACTGTCCGGGCTTTGTCCCCCACACTCTGCACTGAGGTTTCCTCCGTAGCCTCCAGGGGCTCAGCTTCCCTCCTGGAAGGGGGACCGCATCCTTCCCAGAGACCCATGTGTCCCCGCGCTCCTTAACCTGGTAATGCATGTCCTCCCAGGGGCGGCACGCGTGGTGAACGTCAGGGCTGTGACCTCCCGACCCAGCCCAGGGCAGCACCTCACAACGCGTGGACCACAGGTCACACGAGGGCCCAACCTGGATCCAGGCGAGCTGGGAGGCTTCCCGGCTCCGAACAGGGAGGTGGGGGTGGTGGCAGATCTGAAGGAGCACAGAGAGGCTCAGAACCTGGGCCAGCAGGAGCGAGTGTGAGGCACAGAGGCTCTTCCTCCCGCTGCAGCAGGGCAGGAGGCAGCAAGTACCCCGTATTGGCTTGGTCTCCCTGTCTGCGTTCCCTCTGCCTGGTCCTACTGTCCTGTCTGATGTCACCTGCAGGGGCAACCTGCTGGTCACGCAGTCCCTGAGCTCCGCAGGGCTGGGAAGAGCTGGAGACAACCCGCAGCCAGCTTCCTTCCCTGCCCTCGACAGTCTGGCGATGTCCAAGCACTGCTTCCTCCCCAGCCCAGCCTCCACGGCCCTGGCGCCCCTGTGCCCCACTGCCTGGCCCGTGGAGTATGTCCCTTCGTAACCCGGGCGGCAGAGCAGGGCAGATCCTGTCCCCCGGGGCAGCCTGGCGTGCCAGAGACTTCCCAGCCCAGCCTGTTTCCTCCTGTGTAAGTGGGATCCGGCTGGGAACCTCGTGTAACAATGGATCTAAAACAGGTAACGTCTGTCCTCCTCTATCCTGGACACTGGGTGACTGGCAGGCCAGTGACCTTGTGACCCAGCCCAGGGAAGCGCCTGATATCCTAATACACGGACGGCAGGTCACACACTGCGGTTCCTACTTTAAGCCAGGAGTTCCCACTTAGCATTCTGAGAAAAGGCGCCCCGTGTGTGTAAAGAATCCCGCACTCGGGGCTGGGGGTTTAGCTCAGCGGCACAGCGCCTGCCTGGCAAGCGCAAGGTCGTGAGTTCGATTCCCAGTCCTAAAAAAAAAAAAAAAAAAAGAATCCCGCACTTGGTTAACGAGGATCCACGAACCTTCAGTATGAAAGCCAGGGGCTTTTGGGGGCGAGGCTTTGGTAAGAAGGAAGCACATGGGTATGAAGGGCTGGGGGTGAAACCCGTGCTTCCAGCCCCCTTCCCACTGCTCTGGGGATCGCAGCAAGGGCGCTCCGTCCTACAGGCCTCAGTGTCACTTAGGCCACAAGTACAAACCCCGGAGAGTAGATTTTACTGGCGAAGCTGGGATCACCAGTGAGATATACCCGCAACAGCATTCTCTAAGGCGGGGAAACTACGGAGACACTGGGAGGGCTGCACCGTGTGCCCAGGACACAGCCACAGGCCTCAGACTAGCGGACGAGGGCTTGGGACACACAGCGGCTTGGAGAGGCGCCAGGTGACGCCTGCGGTTAGAGGTCGTACAATCCGTGCCTTCCGGACCACGCTGGGCTGAAGGGCCGCGTGGAGGTGACAGCGAGGGCAGGACAAAGCAGAGCAGGCGTGGGGGACAGCAGGGAAGCCCCCGGACTGCCCAAGGAAGGTAGCGGCGCCCACGTGCAGGAACCCCATTCAGCCCGGAGCTCGTGCGCCAGCACCCCGCGCTACCAAGGCTATAGGCACGTGCTGGGGGCGTGTCCTTGAAGGACGGGCGGCGCAGCCAATGGTGAGGCGCTATGGGCGCGCGGGGGCGGGGCGAAGCGGCCCGCAGGATGGGCGCGCGCCTTGCGGGAGCTCTCACCTGGGGGCTGGGCCAGCGTCCGGCTCGGGGCTGAGGTCGGAGCGGCCTCCAAGCCTACTCCGAGGCCGAGCAGCAGCCGCAGAGCCAGGCCCAGGACAGCGGGTAGCAGGGTTCCGCCGCACGCCATCCAGCCGCTACTCGCGCCGTTCAAGCTGCAGCGCCGGTCGCACGCCGCCCGGGCGTCTCTCTTATTCCTGCGCACGCGCAGGCGGAGGTCAGGGCGTGGCCAGCGCCCGGCTCTGCTTACCGTAAATGCCAGAATACGGGTACGCACAATAGCAGGCTTTGCCCGCCTTTCCCGGGGATCGAAAAGTAAAGCGCCTGCTTGAAGCTGGATACCTCTAGGGATGTCAAGAAGCTTTTCCCTGTCTTACTTACGTTACTTCGTCCTCCACATGCTTATGGCCGTAAAGTATTGTCCACTTATTCTTTTAATACGGCATCCGCTCCCCTAGGGCGCTCCCGTACCGCCCCATCCTCCCGCCCCACCCCCGCTTTGTTGCCCCAGGCAGAATTTATATTGTTGGCAGGTAGAGAAGGTTAAAATATATTGTAATGCCGGGCGTGGTGACGCACGCCTGTAATCCCAGCATTCCGGAGGCTGAGGCAGAAGGATCACAAGCTCAAGGCCAACCTGGGCTACATAGCGGGACCTTGACTCAAAAATTAATAAGTGAAAACATTTTCTCACCAACAGCTCTATGACATCAGGATTCTCGTGTTTCCTCCATAGGTTTGGTTTGGCTTGTTTGCTTTCGGGTTGAGTTTCTGTTTTAGAAACAGAGTTTCCCTATGTAGCCCAGGATGGCCTTGAATTCGCTGTGATCCTCTTGTTTCAGCCTCCGGGTGCTGGGATGACAAGCATGTAAGGCACGTGTTAGAGGCCACAGCACTCTAATTCCCCAGGGCTCTACAGGCGCGGGTTAGATGGGTTCTTTCCTGTTGGAAGTCTTTGTGGCAGCATCGGAGCTTGATTCTTATCAAATGTTTAACCGCTTTCCGTTTTGCTCTCACTTTAGGGATATTCTTGTGAACTGGGGGCATGAGTGCTTTTTCTTTCTTTCTTTCTTAGTTCCTTTCTTAGTTCCTTCCTTCCTTTCTCAGACTCTTGTGCTTGGCTTTTCTAACCCAAGCATCTTTATTGGATCTTTTCTCCCAGTGCAGATGCCTTTTTGTATCTTTTACTCCAGTAACAATATACAGGGCTAGGCATATAGCTTAGTGGCGCAGTGCCTGCCTGGGAAGCGCAAGGTTCTGAGTTCAATTCCTAGTACCAAAAACAAAACAAAAAAACAATATGCAGTTTATGAGGGTACTGTGGGACACCACCATACTTTTCATGATATTTGGCTCAAGGCTGAAACATTTTAAACATTTTTTCTGGCTTTTTTTTTTCCTTTTGTTTTTTGAGACGAAGTCTTGTTATGTAGTCCATGCGGGCTTTGAACTCATTATGCAGCGCTGACCTCAAACTCATTGTGATCCTCCTGCCTCAGCCTCCCAAGTGCTGGGTATACAGGTGTGCGCCACCATGCCCACCTTTGGAATTCTTGATTTGGTAAATTTTCAACTAACCCAATCTATACCAGTGAGAGATTCCACACCCTTTGCCAGTCTGTAGCCTGTTGGGGCCTCTACATGACTGAATGCAAAAACCCTGCCCTAAGTGTAACTGCCACTATGGTTGCCTCTGAAGTTTTTTTTTTGTTTTGTTTTGTTTTTTTGAGACAGGGAATCACTATGCAGTTCAGGCTGGCCTTGAGCTCACTTTATAGCCCAGTCTGGCCTCAAACTTGCAATGATCCTCCTGCCTCAGCCTCCCGAGCCCTGGGTTTACAGGCGTATGCCACTACACCCAGCTTCTGAACTTACATTTTACCGACTCATTTTGGTTTATTTCTGATTCCACACTAGAATTCCAGCTCCAGGATGGAAAAGTTGCTCACTGCTATTTCAGTGCCTGAAACATAGTAGGCTGAAATATTTGGTAAATAAATGAATGACTAAAACATCCAGTTTGGGGTATTGCTCAGTGGTAAAGCACTTGCCCAGCATACGCAGGCCCTAGGTTCCTTCCCCAGCACTGGAAAAAAAGTACATTTTTTAAAAAAGCTGGGCAAGGAGGTACACACCTGTAATCCCAGCGCTCTGGGTGGCTGAGGCAGGAGAGTCCCAAATTTGAATCCAGCCTGGGCAATCTAGCAAGACTCTGTCTCAAAATCAAAACTAAATAAAGGGCTGGGGATGTAGCTCAGTGAGAAAGCTCTGGGTTCAATTCTCTGTATAGAAAAAAAAAAAAAAAAAAAAAAACCTCCACCCTGAGTTCTCTGTCCCTCCCCCGGATGTGGCCCTCACAGCCTCTGTTGGTCCCCGAAGAGCCCAGGGAAGTGGGGATTGCTCCGACACCCTCCTCCTCCTCCAGGAAGACATCAGAAGGTAGGCCTCGGCCTCTCTTGGCACATGTGCACAGTAGGTCTGGAAGTCTACCCAGTTTTGTTTTCTTGCACATGTCATCTCCAGTTCTGCCTGCAAGAGACCCAGCGAGTTTGACTGCGCCCAGTAGGGCCCCAGACAGCCACTGCCTCCCTGCTGCAAGACCCTGGGTAGGAGTTGGCCACCTCCACCTCCAGGTTTCCCAGTGAGACGGCGTAAGTCCCTCTCCAGTTTCCCAATAGGCTCTTCTTCACAGGTAAGGGCATGCTTCACTGTAAAAACAGTGCCTGTGAATGCTACTTCGAGAATGCAAGTGTTTTTCCATAATGGTCTCCCAGGGGCGAAGGGAGCTCAGCGGCAGCGGTGCCCAGGTGCTGAGAGTGCCAGAGTCCCTGCCTCTAGGATCAGGGTCTTGGTGAGGGGCAGAGGTGGAAGGACCGTGGATGTGCACGGGCAGCTGAGTAGGACACGGCAGCTGCCCGGTTCACAGCCAGCTCCTGGATGACCGACAACTCCTCCAGCATCAGCCAGCGTCAGAGATAGAGTTCAGTGCCTGGCCAAGGAACCGTGAGATGCGGGTATGACCACTCAGCGGCACCTGGTCCCCGCAGGAGCTCCTGTGTTACTGTTTGTGTCTGGATGTCCCCCCAAAGCCTCAAGAGGTCATGGGGGGCCAGCTTTTTGGAGGCAGCTGAATCTAGAGTTTGTGACTGGTTCATTGTCTAGTACTGGAATTGGGGGTGTGAGTGCTGCACCTGCCCTAGGGCAGGTAGCCTGCGTACACTCTAAGGAGGAAAAGAGGCTTGCTCCTCCTGCTGCTCTTGCTGCTTTTGCTGTCTTCCTTCACCATGAAAGTTGCCCTCTGCCATGCCACTCTGCCTTGGAGCCCACACAATAAACCTTTTCTCCCTTAATTCTGGGTGTCAGGTATTTTGTCTCAGCTACAAGAGAAAAGTAACCACGACAGGGTCAGGCCTTTCCCACTGGACTCCTATGCCAACTCGCTCGGGTGCTGTACCTTTATCCACCTCCTGCCTAGGGGCTCCCTCCTGTTGGCCTCTGCACCGTGCCCAGCCCTCCTCCACCCACCTCCTTTGCAAACCTGACTCAGCCTCTTGCCCGAGGAAGCCTGCGGCGCTCGGCACCCGGGACGCTGCCCTGGCACACGCACACCTGCCCACACCTGTCCCTTTGCTCTGCTTCACGGGGGACAGTCCCGGCCTTCCCTGCAGGCAGCCAGGTTTCCCGAAATTCCTGAAAGATCACAGGGTTGCTGGCGGGGCTGCCGGGTCCCTGCCCGGGTCATTACCATACGGCCCCGCAGCCAGGCCTGACCTTGTGCTTCCAGGGAGCCGGGGGCCGTCGTCCCTGTGGACTGGGCCTCCTCATCCCACGGCAGCAGTGGATCCAGTCCTGCCCTGGGCAAGCGGCCTGTGCGCCACTGTGTGGCCCCGCCTGAGCCGCAGTGGGGACCCAGGGAGCCGGCAGATCTCAAGTGGGCAGTCTGTGCCCCACCCGGGCACAGCCCTGTCCCATGGGCCTGAGGGTCACACCCCCAGACTCTCCCAGGAGGGAATCCCCAGTGCCTCAGGGGCGGAGCTGGGCCCTCGGGAAGGGGACAGTGACATCCCTGGGCCCCCTGAGCCACATCATGGACTCTGCACCCTGGGACAGTGTCACCCCGGCACACAGGGAGGCACAGTCCCTCTCTTGCCACCGGGGTTCCGACAGGGTTAGGAGACTCAGTGCCAGCTTCACCCCAGGCCCCAAGGAAGCTCGGTTCACTCAGAAACCAAAAGTGGCTGAGCCTGGCAGTGCACGCGCTGGCCGCCCCAGCAACCAACAAGCCGGAGCAGGAGGGCCGCTCGGTCCCAGGAGTTCAAGGCAGCCAGGGCAACACAGTGAGGCCTGGCCTCTGATGAAAAAGACAAAGGAAAAACACGCATGGTAGAGAGTTCTGTGTATTTGTCATCAATTAAGTCGCATTCTCCCCTGAGGGAATTCCAGGAGGAAATGCAGTCAGGTGGCCTTGGGGACGTGGCCAGGTGACCAGCACACGGTGTCACAGGTAAGGCTGGTCCTGGGACAGCTCCCACTTCTTCAAGGGAGGACCGGGAGTCACGGCTTTCTTCTCAGTAGCTGCCACAGCTGAACTGCGAGAGGAAGACAGACTTCAGTCAGGCCGAGGCCTCCAGAGGGCGGTGTAGAAGGATTTCTGAAGCACCCAGACCCACCCTGGAAACGTGCGTGCCCTAGAAGCTGGGCATGGTGGCGCATACCCCAGCATGTGGGAGGCTGAGGCAGGAGGATCGCTGTGAGTTCAAGGCCACCTAGAACTACACAGTGAGACCCTGTCTCAAAAAAATCAAAACCAACCAAACAAACAAAACAAAATCCCTCAATTAAAGCCAGGATGCCTGTAATCCCAACACTCGGATCGTTACAAGTTCGAGACCAGCCTGAGCTATAAAGTGAGCTCAAGGCCAGCCTGAACTGCATAGAGAGACCCTGTCTCAAAAAAAGACAAAAAAAAAATATATGACCTTTACACTCAGCATGATGATGTAGGTCTGGGATTAGTTATGTGCCATGACACCCAGCTTGCCGTCCCCATTTTAAAGATGAAGAAACTGAGCCAGGCGTGGTGGCACATGTCTGTCATCCCAGCACTCAGGAGGCAGACGCAGGAGGATGGCCAAAGTCTGAGGCCAGCTTGAGCTACACAGTGAGACCCTGTCTCAAAAAACAAAAAGAAAACAAACAGAAAAGATCCCGAGCATCCATGACCCCAACATACTATTGTCCAAAGACAGATTATAGCAGTTACCTCACAGGGTTTAACTGGCTTTTGTTTGTGACCCTAGCATGAATAGCACCTCCTTCCATAAAACTGAGTGGGTATTCCGATAATCGAGCAGAGGAAGTGCGCTTTATACACAGGAAAGGGCTGAAGAAAGTAGAAACCGAAACAATGGGGTTTTTTTAAGGTTACTTTTCCTCACAAAGGTGAACACAAAGGGACTTCCTTTATCGTGCGGCTAGAGCTGGCTTGCTGGGAAGCAGGATCTGACCTCTCTCTCCTGATTTGTCGGGAGGCCAGGCAGTCGACTCAGTTTCCCTAGGTGACCTGATCTGCTGCGTGGACCGAGGGCAAGGGCCGAGCCCTATAAACTCAACAGCCCACCATTATTGTCCCCCTTTCATTAGGAGAAGGCCCCTGAGGCCAGGCACCAAACTGAGTCATTGTTTGCTGTTTTGTTTTGTTCTGAGATGGGATCTTGTCTACAGCCATACCACCCTGAATGTGCCCGATCTCGTCTGATCTCAGAAGCTAAGCGAGGTCGGGCCTGGTTAGTACTTGGATGAGATGGGATCCTGCTGTGCCATTGAACTCTCAAGCTCAAGCAATACTCCTGCCTCAGCCTCCTGAGTAGCTGGGATGACAGGTATGCACCACCGTGCCAGGCTTATCAAACTGGTTTCTGTTGTTGTTGTTTTTTTGAGACAGGGTCTTGCCATGTTGTTCGGCTGGCCTTGAACTCACAGAGCTCTTCCTGCCTCAGCCTCCTGACTGCTGGGATTATAGGAATGCACCACCACGCCGAGCTTCAAACTGGGTTTTGAGGGGCCCAGTTTTGAGGTTTATACAATTTTCTAAGACCACAAGATCGCAGGGCTGGGGTGTAGTTCAGGGGCAGAGTACCTGCCTAGCACGCATGAGGCACTGGGTTCCATTCCCAGCAGCACCGGGACCAAGAAATGCGACAACAGTAATGTACAGCCCTCTCCTGGCGCTCCCGAAAGAAGCCCAGACTCCTGACACCCATCCCTCGCTGGGGCACCCAGCCTTCTCTGCAGCTGGGCAGGGATGAATGAGCTACAGGAGGAAACGCGCCCAACACAGGCTCCATAAATGGGAAGTTTCTTGCAGTGCTGCGGACAGAATCCAGGGTCCTGTGCATGGCCCGTGGGTGCCCCAGCACGGAGCTGCACCCCGGCCTATCCCTGGGGTCCCCTACAGCACCTTCCGCCAGCCAGAGAGGCAGGGCTGGCGGCGGGGGGGACGCTGAGGGAGGTCCTCACCTGTCTGCTGTCTTGCCTGACGCCAGCGCCTTCTGCGAGGACATGATTACCGAGGGGGGCGTGGCTTCCCGGCGGCCGTCGCGCGTGCAGTAGTAATTGCCGGACAGCTTGTGGCTGGGGCCTACGGGGAGCTTGGGAGGAGGCTGTGTCCTGAGGAAAAAAAACATCAGCCCTGAAGCGAGGGGACAGGCCCTGACCCTCTCCCTGCCCTGCTCTGAGCCTGTCAACTGCCGCAGGTCCCTGTCTGCAAGCTGGGCGTGACGGTGCATGCCTGCAGTCCCAGCAGTTGGAAGACTTAGACAGGATCATGAATTCAAGACCAGTTTGGATGATGAGACGTGATCAAAAAATATGATGAAGGTTCAGCCAGGCATGGTGGTGCACGCCTGTAATCCCAGCACTTGGGAGGCTGAGGCAGGAGGATTGCCTGGAGCTTTAGGCCAGCCTGGGCTACATAGTGAGACTGTGTCTCAAACAAAACAAATACACACACACACACACACACA